GCATATGTTCAGTGTTTAATACGTTTAATGAAACGTTATTGTTATATGAAGTATCAAATTCTTTATAGATATAATTATTAGGTTTTATTTTTCGAAACTTTGAAATATATAATCAAGAGACACGGGTGATGTCTCGATGCCAAGTTCACGCGCAGCGAAGTTCGCGTAGAATGGCGGCGAGACGCTCGTGGCTCTATTTACGCGAGATCCTGGAATGAATTCGGTCTACATTTTCATATCTCAGCAATGATTGCATTGATTAAGTTTTAATTACGCTTAATCGATAGCTGAGTATTAAATTATATCAGAAAAGTGTTTTTATTTTTTTTCTCCGTGTTCTACAAACTGAGATATCGCGACGCAATCGTGATGCAAAGTTCAAATTGGTAAATTTAAGAAACGTCCTGGTTGTCGTCGTGATTCTCTTTTTTCTGTCACAAGAGGCGCTAATGAACGTCTCTGTATGACAGCTCTTGCAGCACTCATTTTTTTAATTTGATTTGTCTTTGACAGATATCCTTCGTGTGAAGATGTATATATTGATTAATAAAAAAGAAGATATAATGTTTGTCACATGTAATAGTAAGTAATATTGTAATATTATAATATTGTAATATTGTAATATTGTAATATTGTAATATTGTAATATTGTAAGTAATATTGTAATAATATATAATACATTGAAGAAATAGAAATAGAAATAGAAATAGAATTAGATTTTTACAACAAATTAAATTATCAGATTTTTATTATTATAAGATTTTTATTATATTATTAGATTATTGACAACAAATGTATTAGATTTTTACAACAAATTAATATTTATTAATTAATATTTATTAACAATTATTAACAAATTATTACATTAAACATAAATAACATAAAAATAACATAATATAAAACATAAATTAATAACATAAAACAACATAAATAATATGTTATATGTTGTATTATATGTTATGTTATATGTTATGTTATATGTTAACGGCATTTGAAACTGCAAAACAGTTAGTTCAGAAATATCTAGATAATGAATTGCAAAAACAATAAGATGTATTTCAAGGTGATCCAGAAAATACAATAGATGTGCAAAATATAGAGGCAGATGAAGCCATGCAGGACTTTAAAGATCTTGGAGCTAAAATTAAAGAAGAGAATGTTTCTGAAATGATAATAAAATTAAACACAAAAGAGATCAAAAGAGAGTATTTGATAGACTTATTAGCTATTAAATTAAATAAATCAGTATTACGATTATATGTAGTATTATGATTATAGCGGTGAAGATGGTACTGGAAAAAGTTTTCTAATTAAGACTATTAAATGTTGGATAAAACAAAATCTTAATAAAGAAACTGTTGTAGCAACATCTATAGGTATTGCAACATTTAATATAGACGGTTTGACAATTCACAGATTGTTCCAACTACCTGTTGAACATGGTCATACTCTTAAATATAAACAATTATCTGATCATGTATTGAAAGTTCTACGAGCGGATTTAAATGATGTTATACTTTTTATACTTTTTATAATAGATGAAATATCAATGATATCTAATTTAATTTTAATGTATATACATCTTTGATTATTCGAAATATATGACACTACTGAATGTAATGATAGCTGGTTTGGAAACATATTCTTTTATTTGGAGATCTTCTTCAATTATCTCCTGTACACGAAGATTTTGTTTTTGTTCATTTATTGAAAGAAAAAATTGATAAATATATTAGCATTTTAGGAACCATTAATTTGTGGACTACATTATTTGAATATGATGAATTGACAATTAATATGCGACAGCAAGGAGATATGGCTCATTGTGAATTGTTATCGCGTATTCGTATTGGTTTATTGACAAATTCAGATCACGAAATTCAAAATAGAAAAATATTCTTTACGAATACTTCTTTCAATTCAAGATTGGTGAAATATGTAATTTTATTATCAATTTCAGTTGACACTGTGTGTTTACTTCCTACTTGTCATATGTGTGATATTTTAAACACTGCAATGTTGAATCGTATTAATTAAAAAAAATATTATTAATTGCTGAACACGATAAATTGTATTCCATACATAAAAAAGAAAGTATTGAAAGTATCGAAAAATGATGAAGATGATATTAGAATAATTGGACTTTCGAAACAATTATTATTAAGATTGGAGCAAAAGTAATGATTAGACGTAATATTGATGCTAGTTTGGGACTGGTAAATGATACAATCGCGAAAGTAATATCAATTGTTCAAGATATAAATACTGAATATGTAGAAAAGATCAAACTTTTATTACTTACAGGTTCAGAATACTTGATTGAAAGAGTCAGCGTTAAATTTCAAGTGATGGATAGAGCTTACGTTATCAGAAAACAATTTCCATTATCATTAAATTATGGAATCACTATTCATAAAAGCCAAGGATTAAGTTTACAAAATGCTATTATGGACATTGGTAATTTTGTATTTAATGCAGGACAAGGTTATGTTGCTTTGTCACGAGTAACATCTAGAGAAGGTTTGTATTTAATTAATTACGATCCCTCATCTGTAAAAGCTAGTGAAGATGCAATTATTGAATATAATCGATTAAAACAAATGTAAATCAGAAGCGAAATTGATTACTATTTCAAAATAAAAATATATTAAGATAAAAGATACTTTATGGACATTATCAAAAATTTCTTCTGTTCAAGAATCACATAAAACGGTTCAAAAAAATATTGTTTGGGTAATACATGGGTTCCAAAATAAGGATAAAGTTTCATCTTACGCAAATGCAGTTTTGCAATGTCTTTTGCATTTAAATGTTATTAGAAAACAAATTTTTGAGTGTGATAAATTAAATGTTTTACGTACATTAATGAATCAATATAAAAACGGAATATCTGATTTGAATACATTTACAGTACGACAAGAAGGTAATTTTTAGAAGATAATTTTTCTAACTGTATAAAACAAGATGCATCTGAATTTCTCATAATTATCTGTGAAAAATATGATTATATAAAAAATCTAGTTAAGCATCAAATACGTTCCACTATACGGTGCAAAACTTGTGATAATACAATTGTTATTACTAATGATAATATTCTTCAATTCCCATTACTAATTTAAAGAAAGACAGTTACGATCTTAATGATTTATTAAATATTAAAAATTTTTCGAGGTGGTATCACTCTCATAACCTATGTAAAAATTGTACAGGGAAAGATACAATATTTAAAAAAGAATTAACATTAACGCAAGAAATACTTATCATTTATTTACAATTATTTTCAGAACAAAATGGTAAATTAATAAAAATAGATCAATTTAATTTGCGTGCAATACCAACAACTACAATATCAGTAGGGGGACAATTTTATAAGGTAATGAATGCCATTTTTCATCATGGATCATCTATTGAAGATGGTCATTATACAGTATATGTAGAGATAAAACGTCTAATGGATGGATAGACATTGATGATGCGCAAATTAACAAGAAAAATGACCTAGAGGAGCAAAAATGTGTATATATTTTTTTTAAAAAAGATTATTAAAAAATAATGACTGAATACTGATTGTTTTTTCTAGTATATATAAAGTAAAAAAATGTTTCAAATATGCTAAATAATAAATACTATTTGTTACTAAAAAAATGAGTGATATCCTAATAAAATTACCTTTTAAATAAGGTAAAAAATAACGCCAAGTTCACGCGCCCGTTTTCTTATTTATGTAAAAGAAAGAATTTTATACACAAATTTCCATCTACAAAAAGTCTTTTTAATAATAAATTTCATTCGATCAAAAGATGTGATATAAAGAACTGGCGCCAACTTCTAATTTATAAAATAAAAAGAGCTTTACATTGAAATACATTTTATTTTATAGTTCATTTTTATTTGAAAAATCATTTCATTATTTCAACAAACATGACATTACTACAAAAAACATGTTATCAAAAATTGACACATTACTTTTTAAATAAGGGGATCCAACCCGGACACGCCAAGTTTTTGTATGTCGTTTTTTTTCTTATACATCAGATTTTCTTTTATATTTTATTTTTATATAAACACAAGTACAATAATTTAATAAAAAATTTTTGGCAACTACAAATTGACA